CTCGGATCGGCGCTGGACCCCGCCCCTCAGCACAGGGGGACAAGCAATGACATATACAAAAAAACACCGAGGCCTGGGCGCGAAGTTCTCGGATCGGCGCTGGACCCCCCCCCCTACGAGCAAAGGGGACAAAGTAGATTGGAAGCGGGCACTCCAAAAACGCGGGCGCCTTTGCGCGGCCAGCGTTGTATCCATTCTTTTTGTGGCAACCTACCGCGTCCCCAGAGTGTCCCGCGACGGGGGTCCTTCGGCCGCTCGCGCGAGGGAGCCCAGCTCCGCAAATGAAAACGCTTGGGCGCGCGAAGACCGATGACTTCGTCGGGGCCCGATGGGCAGACGGTGTCTTGCCGCGCGCCCCCTTCGGGTCGGGCGAAAGGGGGGGGGGGGATAGCTAAAGGGGGGCTTGAGAATCAGCCCACGTAGCTGATGCTCCCGGCGCCTCCAGGCGCCGGAGGCGGCCATGTATCGAGGAATGGGCCCCTCGGTGGGGCCGAAACCAGCTGCACGCAGCAAATTTCGCAACCCCCCCTTTCTCGGCGGTGGACAAACCTCCCTTTAGCAAACCTCCCCTCAGTGAAAACGGCCTGGGACCGAAACCCACGGGCCTGGACCCGCAAAAATGACGGCCGCGTATGCCCCCTCGCAAACCAAGCACGGCCAATTCACGAATCGACGTGTCAGGGTAGGAGGTCTGTCCACCTCCGACTTTCCCAGTCCCCCCCCACACCACAAAATAATAAATACACCACATATTATGAAATCAATATGTAGACTTTTTTTTAATACAGCGATTTTCGTCTCACATTTTTTTGGGTGGAATGTTTGTTCCCCCCTTGCGTCCGGCCCGGCCCCTGCTGCGGCGCGCGCCTCCCCCGCGGCCGCTCCCAGCCGCGGGAGGCGGGGAGGCGAGCGACCGCCCTCCCACGCCCGCGACGGGGCCCCGCTCACCGCGGGAGGCCCGCGCCCGGCGCCGCACGGCGCCGCTCCTCCGCTACTGGCCTCAGGTCGGGCATGTCCCCCCACGGGCGGATGTTGGACGAAAAGTGAAAATCATCCCGGCAAAGCAACCTAACAGCGATGTGTAGAAGCATATCTGAAAGCATTCCCCTTAAGATTCAGATGAAAATCCAGTTGTAGAATTCTGCTGTTCTCGCAGTCGTAGTCGCATTCGCGATGACAGTCGCAGCGGCAAGGGCAGTCGCAGTCACAGCCTCAGCCTCAGCCTGCCTCAGCCTCAGCCTCAGCCTGCCTCAGCCTCAGCCTCAGCCTGCTTCAGCCTCAGCCTCAGTCTGCCTTCAGCCTCGGCCTCAGCCTCAGCCTGCCTCAGCCTCAGCCTCAGCCTGCAGCCTCAGCCTCAGCCTCAGCCTCAGCCTCAGCCTGCCTCAGCATCAGCCTGCCTCAGCCTCAGCCTCAGCCTGCCTCAGCCTCAGCCTCAGTCTGCTTCAGCCTCAGCCTCAGTCTGCCTTCAGCCTCGGCCTCAGCCTCAGCCTGCCTCAGCCTCAGCCTGCCTCGGCCGCAGCATCAGCCTGCCTCAGCATTCAAAATGTGGCCCAGGAATGGAGTTCTGGGAACTCGAAGAACACGAAGTGGCCTACAGTTGGCTCCGGGCATTCAAAATCATGCCCAGGAATGGAGTTCTGGGAACTCGAAGAGCACGAAGTGGCCTACAGTTGGCTCCGGGCATCCAAAATGTGGCCCGGGAATGGAGTTCTGGGAACTCGAAGAGCACGAAGTGGCCTACAGTTGGCTCCGGGCATCCAACATGTGGCCCGGGAATGGAGTTCTGGGAAGTCGAAGAGCACGAAGTGGCCTACAGTTGGCTCCGGGCATCCAAAATGTGGGCCGGGAATGGAGTTCTGGGAGCACCAAGAGCGATTTTGCGAGGATGTCCCAAGCGATTTCGGCTTCGGCGGCAGCCGCGGCGGCAGCCGTTCTGGGTCCCGCCCAGACCCCCCTGAGGAGTCATGATGCTCTCTTTTGAGACCACTAGAAACCTATCAGCAAGAGCTGTTAGGTAAAAAATATACCATATAAAAAACAGAAAACATAAAAATATCCCGTCAAAGCAACCTAACAGCGATGTGTAGAAGCATATCTGAAAGCATTCCCCTTACGATTCAGATGAAAATCCAGTTGTAGAATTCTGCTGTTCTCGCAGTCGTAGTCGCATTCGCGATGACAGTCGCAGCGGCAACGGCAGTCGCAGTCACAGCCTCAGCCTCAGCCTGCCTCAGCCTCAGCCTCAGCCTGCCTCAGCCTCAGCCTGCCTCAGCCTCAGCCTGCCTCAGCCTCAGCCTCAGCCTGCTTCAGCCTCAGCCTCAGTCTGCCTTCAGCCTCGGCCTCAGCCTCAGCCTGCCTCAGCCTCAGCCTGCATCAGCCTCAGCCTCAGCCTGCCTCAGCATCAGCCTGCTCAGCCTCAGCCTCAGCCTGCCTCAGCCTCAGCCTCAGCCTGCTTCAGCCTCAGCCTCAGTCTGCCTTCAGCCTCGCCTCAGCGTCTGCCTCAGCCTCAGCCTGCCTCAGCCTCAGCATCAGCCTGCCTCAGCATTCAAAATGTGGCCCAGGAATGGAGTTCTGGGAACTAGAAGAACACGAAGTGGCCTACAGTTGGCTCCGGGCATTCAAAATGTGGCCCGGGAATGGAGTTCTGGGAACTCGAAGACCACGAAGTGGCCTACAGTTGGCTCCGGGCATCCAAAATGTAGCCCGGGAATGGAGTTCTGGGAAGTCGAAGAGCACGAAGTGGCCTACAGTTGGCTCCGGGCATTCAAAATGTGGCCCGGGAATGGAGTTCTGGGAAGTCGAAGAGCGCGAAGTGGCCTACAGTTGGCTCCGGGCATTCAGAATGTGGCCCGGGAATGGAGTTCTGGGAGGTCGAAGAGCACGAAGTGTGTGACTGTTGGGTTAAAACGACTTCTGCGGCACCCTGTCCGGCACCCGCCCAGACCCCCCTGGGGAGTCATGATGCTCTCTTTTGACCCTACTAGAAACCTATCAGTCTTCGCTGTTAGGTAAAAATGCTCAGACAATCGTCCCCACACTGTGTTTCACTGTTTTTGAAGGCGCCTCCTGTAGAGGGACGCGCCCGATTTGATGCTAGCTGTGGCCACGACGGGTCCCTGCAGCGTCCGGCTGTCCCCCCCAACGCCACACACAAGTAGCCACATGTGAGCCCTGCCCCCACCCCTCCCGAGATTTCTGAGGGGAGGGGGGGGGATCATTTCGCTCGGGAGCTCCCGAGTGAGGGAGACTCCCACCCCCCCTTCAGAAATCGTGGGGTGTGTGGGGTAGGACCCACATGTGGTCACCGAATACGCCTCAGAATCTGCACTATACATTATCCAAATCGCCGCACTCGCTGCCAGCCGACAGGCAGCAGCAGAGGCAGCAACTGGCGCAGGCACATCGGTATGAACCGACCTCTCTGCTCTGGCAGCTCAACGGCCACCACGACACCGACCTCGGTTGCCCACTCTACTCCGTCTTCCACAGCGGCCACTTCCGACCTATAGTCGGGCCACTGAAACAAGGAACGACAAATTAAAGGAACGAAGCCCCTTTTGGGCGCAAACAGCGCCTGGGTGCACGAGGAGAGCTAGAGGAGCTGCCATAGAAGGACCTCAGGAACAGCGAGCCCCCTCCGAACCCAAACTATTCATTATTTCAGCGTCTTGGCTGTGTCTCCACAGCTGCGTCGAGCCCCCACCCCAACCTCCCGGATGGCAGATGGCAGTGCGGGCGCCTCGGCACCCGCCTGCCCTGATCGCGGGCCCCTGGTACTGGGCCCGGGCCTCAGATGTGTTCGGCTCGGGGGCCAGCGAACTACACTCAGCGAGGATCCAAAACGGGTCCCCCCTGAACAGAAACACAAAAACTCGGAGGTCGGCGCGGATGTCTCGGATCCGCGCCGGATTCCCCCTCCCTGGCGCGCGGAGCGCGCCAGGGGATGCGCCGGAGGCGCTGCCAGCGGGGTCCAGCGCGGATCCTGAGAAAAATGCGCGGACCTCCGAGTTGACATGTTCATGTCGTTCTTCGTCCCCCTACGTCCGCTCAGGGGCCAACGACCCAAACTGAGCGAGGATTCAAAACGGGTCCCCCCTCTGACTACCTACCAGACCACCCCAACCCAACCCGAAGACCCGAATTTCGGGTTGGGGGGGGTAAGGGTTCCACATGCGTTTTTTCGATGTTTCCCGGATCCCCCCCCCCACTGGAAATCGAGGGCAAATCTGAGCCTTCGGGTTGGGTTGGGGTGGTTTGGTGGGTGGTGACCCTCCCCCGCGGGCGCCGAGCCGCTCTTCTGCAGCAGCGCCCCCAGCGCGGACTCGTCGACCCTGTGGAGGACGTGGGCCTCGGGCGGGCGCCCGCGGGGCGAGGGCCCCGACGCTCGAGCTGTGGGGGCCCCGCGGCTTCTCCTGCGGACCCCCTCGGCTCGCGCCAGCACGTCCCCCCACCTCCCCCTCCTCCTCCTCCTCCTCCTCCTCCTCCTCCTCCTCCTCCCCCTCCTCCCCCTCCTCCTCCTCCTCTTCCTCCTCCTCCTCCTCCTCCTCCTCCTCCTCCTCCTCCCCTTGAGGGGTCAAGGTCCGAGGAATGGCTGCACCCCTCGGGGGGCGTCAGCAGAGCACCTCCCCCCACCTCCTCTCGCGGGGACGGGGTCGAAAACACGACGGGCTGCTTCTGGGGCATTCCTTCGTGGGGGCGGCGATTCCCACTCTTTGGCTGGTCCGCGGACGCAAGCACGCAGGCGTCGCTCGAGCAAAGGGAGGGGCCCTCCAGAGAGCAAATGCAGCACATGTAGCACAAGGGAAAGGTGGCGGTGATGAATATAGGGGAGGGGGGGGAAATGTGCACCTTCGGTGCCCCGTTTTTGGCAAGAGGGGGGGCCCTTCACGGCCCTGAGGGTTCACGAAAGATACATCTTTTGTTCACCCCCTGTTTCCTTGCCATCGCTCGGACGTCCATCCTCCGTGCAAGTCCCGCGCGTCCTTTCTCGCAAGATGATCCGAGATGCTCCTCGATGGTCCTCGCCGAAGAAAATGCACACGTCCGAGCGATGCCAAATTCATCGTCACCCCTGAAGAAACCGAAAGGTACCGATACCGCTGCTCCCCGGGCCTCTCCCGGGGTACGTTCTGACCAGAACCAGCGGTGGCGACGAAGGCCTCCCAAGAAGCAAAAAAAAGGGAAAACGGGCGAAGGGTAGCGTTAGGTTGGGCCTGTCCCCCTACAGGCGGATTTGGGGCGAAAAATAAAACATGGAAGAAAAGAATACTCCCGAATAGTCCAAAAAATACTAGGAAAATCGTCACCAGACTATTGTTGGACGATTCTTGAATGTTCCTCCTGTAGAGGGTACATGTTCAACCTCCGAACTCTGCGCAGCGCCCGGCTTTTGGGCAATTTTTCGGCCTCCAGGGGGCCCTCGCTGGGCCCCAGGACGGTCAAACGAGTTGCTCGGGATGCGAGCCCAGAGACGGTGGAAGCGCTCTAGAACTCGGGGGATCCGCGCTGCGGGAACAAACACCACTCTAAAGGGGCCCAAGCACACACACACACACACAAACACACACACACACACACACACACACACACACATATATATATGTATATATATATATATATACTAGAACCGCGCACGCGCTTCGCGCGCGCTTGGGTTCTAGCGCATGCCATGGCGTTGTTAGCTGCGCGTGCTTTTCGGACAGGCTCATTGCATGCCTTGCCTTACCTCGTCCTCCAGTATTCCTTATACGTCCTTCCTCGTTTACCCTCCAGTCTCTCTCGGTTGTCCTCGCTTTTCGTTTCTTGTTCTTATCGACGGCCTCCTCTTGCTTGGGATTATGCGGGGGCTTCGAGCTGTTCAGGGCCAACGTGGGAGGATATCCAATATGAAGTGGGCCGGCTTGAAATGTACGGGTCTCTTGTGGATCTTCCTGTTTGGGCTGCCTTGAAGGCCTTGGGGCCCACTTGGGCCCCTCTTGGGCTCTTCTTCGAAGTTGTGGGGCCGTCTCGAGCCTCGGCGCCATGTGAAGCTTTCCCGAAGCCATCCGAAGGAAACGAGCGTGAGATTTACTGAATATGGAGAAACCTGAATGGCTTTTGCGTTTGTGGCTCTCTGGGGTCATCTGGGAGGGCCTTTGGGGGTTCCACTGGGGCATCTTGTGGCCCCTGGGGGCCGCCTTGAAATATCTTGGAGCGTCTTGGACCACTAAGGAGCCATCTTGGCGGCCAGCGGGCGTCCTCCTGAACCAGCTCGGAGCCCTCTTAAGGCCGAAAGAATCAATCACGGATCCCAAGAGACAAGGGGGGGCAAATTGGGTTGCGACGGGGGGAGTTTGGGAAGAGTTGGCCACCCCAGGGCCACCCCTGGTCCCCTCCCCCATGGGCGGTCCAGTCGTCTTCTTCCGTCTTCCGACGTCCGTCGTCCATCCGCCCGCCGTGTTGTTTCTCTATGATAGCTCTGCCGCCGGCATCTTCTCTCGCTTGCTCTCAGCAGGAAGTGCCGGGGATGCAGCGGCCAGCACTGTAAATGAGCTGCTGCCTTCGGCTGCAGCTCGCTGGATACTGCTGCGTGAAAGGCGCTGTCACCCTGGGCAGCAGTGCCATGCAATTAAATTCCCCAGCATTACTTATCCTACACGGCACTTGAACGAGAGATGGACATGCTTGGTTCGCGCATGAATTTCCTTCCCGAGTCCTGAATGGATGAGCATCTAATCCAAACCCAAAATTCCTGGATTCTTGAGGCCTTCGGAGACTCCGCGAAACCGTTGAGAGACCGGGAGGCGGGGTACCGGCCAGATGCCAGGGGATGTGGAGGACCCCCCAGTAGGAGTTCCACTTTGAAAAAAAAGGAATTCTTGGAATCCCCTTTTTTCCAAAATCCTCGATCTTTGAGGGTTGGAAGCGGGAAAACGTGAAAGGCGAAAAACATTGGAAAAAAAACCATAGCAACGACTTTACCCTCTTAGTTGGGCTCTCTCGAGATGGCTCTCGCAGCTCTGTGGGGCTGTTCTTGGAGCCTCGTCGGGGTCTTTTTGGGGCCTCTCAGGGATCGGGGGTGTGTTGGGGGCCTCTGGGTGGTCCCGGAGCCCTCTCGGAGGTCTCTGGAAGCCTCCTGCTCCCGCTCTTGGGCCCATCTTGGGCCTGTTCTGGGGTGGTCTGGGGCTGTCCTGGGCGCCTCTTCGGCAGTCTTGGAGCCTTCTTGGCCCGTCTTGGGGCCGTCCTGAGGGTCTCTTGGGTGGTCTTGGGGCAGTTTTGGGAGCCTCTTCGGCGCTCTTGGACCGTTGGAAGCTCGAAAACGCGAGAAGCCAAAAACATTGAAGAAAACAAGGAAAATCGACGATGTTGGCTTCCGGGCCGTCCCAGGACGACTCTCGAACCTCTCTTGGAATCTCTTGGAGGCCACCTGGGAGCCTCGAGAGCCGTCGGAAGGCTGACTTGGGCTGCTTGGGAGCGTCTTGGGCCATCCTTTCTCATTCTGGGGGCTCCTGGGCGGCGTCTTGGGCCCTCCTGGAGAGCTGTGGAGGCTCCCCGGAAAGGCCGAGGGAGCGGTACCGGGAGCATTCCCGAGATGTGGCGGGGAGGTGTGGGACCCGGGGCCGGGGGGGCGGTATGTATTCATATCATATATGTACACATAAATACACACAAATCCCAGGATGACCCATATTGCCCCATATTCTCTGGACTTCAGTCTCCCCCCCCCACTTCACATAGTTTCCCAGATTTTCTCCGGGGGATCGACGATCTATTGTGTCTGTTCGTGCTGCCCTTTCCGAAACTGCGTCCGAGATCTTGGGCACCGCTGCTGGCGGGGCCAGCATGCCGACGCGATGGGTCAGGGCGTGGGGCGAGCGGACCATGCTGCTCCCGTGCGGCATTCCTAACTTCATCCCTGCGGCCGCTCGGCACGCTCGCTTCCTCGCTAACTAACTCCGCTCGGTGCAGGCCTCGTCGTCTTCCGTAACTGGCTCGTCAGGTCCGAGATTCGCCGTCTTCGGAGCACCGCTTTCGCGCGTCGCCAGGACAGTATCGGTGAGGTGGTCGGCTGGTGCGCCCCGAGCCGGGGGAGGGGGAGTCCGCGGAGAGGAGAGGACAAGGGGCACCGACGACCGCCGAGGGATCGACCGGTGGGCCACGGAAACGGGCGCGAGCCGGAGGCTCTCGGGGAGCTGCTGGCCCGGGTCAGTCCATGGGCCGCACAGAGACATGCTAGTACTGCGTGTTCTCCTTGGAGGCGCGCGTCCGACCCGAACATGTAGTATACCCATCTTGTAGTATATCGCTTCCCGAGCGGTGAGGCCAGAAAGCGCCCGCCACGACGCATATACAACAAGACTTCTCGGTGCGCGCGTCGCCCCTGGGGGGACGAACCACATACAGTATGAGTGTGTTGGGGTGACGCCGAATCCAGACTCGGGTCGATCAGGCCTTGCAAGAGCCTGCAAAATCCTGCAGGATGCCGCACCCAAACCCAGGCCAACGTAACCCTGGCCCTGCAGGATCCTGCAAGATCCGGCGCTCTGACTGGCTCCCGTTTGCATGGACCCCCGTCTCTTGATCCCCGAGGCTCAGGAGGACCGATCAGCAGAATCGGGGAGGCGCAAGACTCGGGTTTGGGGGACTCGGGTGGGCCTGACGGGGCCATGGTGAAAATGACGAGACGCAGTCTGGAATTCGACGCCAACTCCCGCTGCAAACATCCCACGAACACTGGACCGTCAAAATCTGGTATGCGCCAGTCAGAGAACGTCGGTATAAACCCGAGTTCCGTCGCACTCGAGTCTTACGCGACACCAACAGTTTGAAGTCACATTCTATCGCCGAGCAATTCTGCACGCGTTTCTCCGATGGTGCCCAGGACGTTCTGCGCAGCGCTGAAGACCAGCATCTTGATTCGATGGCGGAGACTGCAAGAGCTGCCATGAAGGACGCTGCAGGAAAGGCCCTTCCAGACAGATCCGTTATCGCGGCACGGCCGCGGATTCGAACGGCCACGCATGGCCAGAGAAGAACCTCGCGGAGGATGGCTCGTCTGCTACGAAGCGCCTGCGGCGTGGAACTGCGCAACAACAGCAGGGCCGATGCCAGAGTGTGCATGGCAGCCTCGTGGACTCTCCAAGGACGAGGCTGAATGTTTGTTGGTTTTGGACTTCGCCTAGGATCATCCGCAGACGCCCTTTATCGGGGGGAACGAAAGGGGGGATAGCAAAGGGTAGGGTAGAGAAGCAGCTCACGTAGCTGATTTTCCCAGCGCCTCCCAGCGCCAGGAGGCGCCCATGTCTCGAGAAATGGGCCCAGCGGCGGGGCCGAAACCAGCTGCATGCTGCATGCGGCAGATTTCGTACCCCCCCCTTTCCCTATCCCCCCCCCTTTCGTTTGGCCCGACCTTAGGATTAGGTCAGGCATGTCCCCGTACAGGCGGATCTTGGACAAAAAATCCCAATTCCCCAAAAAATACACCAAACATTTAAAAAAATAGTAAAATTATCGTCCCCATAATATGTTTTGACTATTTTTGAAGATCCCCCCATGTAGAGGGACAGGCCCGACTTAACCTTAGGACGCAAGACAAGGCCGGAGCCATGGCGACTTCCTTCCCGGAGATGCGCAGTGGAAAAAAAAAGAGAGTTCCTGGCGCAGGGGAGGGCGCGCCATCTCCGAGCCCCGGTCGGGCCCGGCGATGGACGCTCCGACCGGGAGAGCTCTCGGGGCAGGAGCTGAACATCAGGTCGGGCATGTCCCCCCACAGGCGGATTTTGGACGAGCAATGAAAACATAGTCAAGAAACTACCCCCAAAAGATGCTCAACCATACTCAAAAAAACAACTCGACTCCTGACCATGTTTATTTGACTGTGTTGGAATCTTCCTCCTGTGGAGGGGCACGCCCGACTTAAAAGATGAAGAATGTGTTGTCGCGACTGCAGAGGGGACAAGCAAGTGGGCCTGACAGTGTGCCGCCGGTCTTCTGGGCCACCCTTGGCCGCAACAGCGCTTCTCTTTCCAACTCCTGCTTCGGCTGCTGAACTTCTGCAAGAAGGCGCGGGCGATCCATGTCCTGGGATTGTTTCTTGGCACCTGCAGTATTCAAGAAAGGCAACGCTGGAAGGCGCGGGCGATCCCTCAGTCCTGGGCTTGTTTCTTGGCACCTGCAGTATTCGAGAAAGGCAACCCGGCGCTGCCATCCAATTACCATGCGATTTCACTTTTGACAGTGGGATATAAGGTTCTCGCGGCTGTGACTCTGGACTGGCCTCGAACTAGAGGCATGGAGACTCGCCTCCGAAACAATCAATGTGGTTTCGCCCTGGCAGGGGCGCGGACCTGGCCATCCTCACCGTGCAGCGCATCGTGGACGCAGCGCAGGGCCTGAGAGACAGACAGCTGTCTGTATTACTCCTGAATTGGGCGAAACGACCGCATCGATCTCAGGGCGAATCAATTGGCTCTGCGCAGGTTTCGTCTCCCCCAAACCTATACGGACATGGTCGATTCCGTACACAGATGCATATCGCTCACAATGCGAAACGCTGGCACATAATCTGGCACCCGCCAGCAAACAGCCGGCATTGCCCAAGGCTGCCCACTATCCCCATATATGTTCATCATTGCCATGACCGTCATCATGGCAGATGTGAATTGGGAAACGGATGGTTGCAACAAAACACAGACGACGAGAAGTATGCCGACGAAACCGCATCTTGGTTTGCACATCCTCTGCTTGCCTGCAGGCAGCTCAGAGCAGCCTGCTGTCTCGAGCTGCTCCGTACGGCTTGCTTCAAGCTTGGGACAACGTCGTCGTCCTGGGCATCGGCCACCCGGCGTCGATTCTGGATCCGAGCGGCCGACCTGTTCCCCGGTGCGGAGCAACACGCGTACTTCGGCGGCCTGCTGACAACTAGCAGACCCGCCAGATGCACTGTATCCCGGGGACTATGGGAGAGGCACAGGGCACAGTCACCATCCCGAAGACAGTCCGCAGCCCTTCTCCTGTCAGCACGCAGAGGATCTGCGAGGCGTACGACGTCTCCAAACTACTGCATAGCTTAGACACAGAACGAGCAAACAAAGCGGAAGATTATCGGATGAATTCACTCCAAGTTTCTTGCTTAAGGGATCGATGGGGGATGCCACACCCTATTAGTTCGAGAGTGCCCAATGAAAGGATTTTGGACATTGCCTCGGCGCGCGCGCGCCGGCAGACCAGCTGATTGCCAAGCAGGTGCGCCTGGTCGGAAAAGTAGCACGAATGCCAGACACCAATTTGATTCGCATGCCAATGTCTGCGCCCCGCCAACGCAGCTGGCGCGGCCAGCCCGCGTGCGAAAGCGAGGGCGCCCAAGAGTTTCTTGGGGACACGGGGCCAACGTGCAGGCGCTCAGGGCCGTGGGAACGGAGACGAACGTGGTCTGTCGCCGCTCTGGGCAGAGACAGCGGCTGCTTCAACGCGTGGAACAAAATGGTGTTGCACTCTGGCTGTTCGCACTGTTGCCGATGTGCCGTCATGGTACGGTTTCTAGGTACTTACGTTCTCCTCCTCCTCCTCTTCCTCCTCCTCCTCCTCCTCCTCCTCCTCCTCCTCCTCCTCCTCCTCCTCCTCCTCCTCCTCTCGCCCCCCCGCGGGCCCCAGGGATGGCCCGAAGAGGCCCTCCACGGCTACCCCCTTGCGCTGCCAGAGGTCTCTCCGGTCAGCCTGGCTGCCCGCCCTGTTTCACTGTGTGTGTGTGTCTGCGTTCCGTTCCCCGTCAACTCTCACGTGATGAGACGGGCCTGTTTTCCACCACCACCACCATAAGTTGGAGGGGGAGGGGGTCCTCCTCCCCCTCCTCCTGATATTCCTCCTCCGCCTCCTCCTGATCTCCCTCCTCCTCCTCTTCTTCCTCCTCCTCCTCCTCCTCCTCTTTCTCCTCCTCCTCCTCCTCCTCCTCCTCCTCCACCACCACCTCCTCCTTCCCCCCTCCAATTCATGGTGGCGGTAATGAAGACAGGCCCTTCATCACGGGCAGGATTTCTGAACGGGCTGGTGGGGATATTTTTGGTGAACAGGTTCGCGAGGCGGGTCGAAAGCCGTCCGAACACTAGTCGGGCCGCGACTAGGCAGCAGGAAAAAAAAGCAAGTGAAGCGAGCGAGCAGGCAGCCACTAAGAAGGAGAGCCAGAACCGATACTCTCAAACCCGGTGGCGTTGGAAATTCCGGTGGCGACCAGCAAGTAAGCGCGGCCAAAATGGCGCGGCGGCGCGACCATAAACACGCAGAGGTCGACCACTCGGTGTGAGTCAGACAAACTGCACCGTCAGAGACGACCTATACCGACAGGCACACTCGGACGACATCCGTGCCGTAGGCGACACAAACGCCAAAACATCGTGTCGGCGCAAGAGTGAAGAGGGGCAACCTCATCACCGACGAGACTGCAAACGGCAATAAAACCTGTGGCTGGTGGGGATACGCGAAGCGCGAAGAATCGTGTAGTGTTCGACCGCTGCTCCGTTCGGCGGCTCTCACTCCTTCCCCTTCCTCTGGAGCGGTGCTTCCTCCTGGATCCATGTGTTTCTGGACTCGGATGGCAGCGTGTGTCATGCATGAAACGGATGGCCGTCTGCAATGTCAATTCCAGTCCTCCCTTGTTCGACCCCTCTTGGTACCCTCTCAGGCGCCTCGTGGGCGGCCAAGCGGTTATCGCAGGGAAAAAATGGCTGGCCATTCGCGCGGTCTGCCGCCAATGAACGCGGCGTACTGCGCACGCTGATCTCGCATGGAAAAAATCTTCAGCGTGAGGCAGCCAACCGCTGCGATGCAGCTGCCACTGGACTCTCTGAACCAGTCCCGCGCACGCTAGGGCTACCTTGGGCGGCCCAGGTGGTGTATCCGCTCGGGCGAAGCAGGAGGAGCACCAAAAATGTGAAATAGCAGTCGAGCGTTCAATGACGGTCCGCGGGTCTGCCGCGGATGTAACAAATCTCGGCGAGGCACGGTGGCCCCGGTGAACATGGACATGGGGGCAGAGGCCATGCAAAGCGCAAGGCTCAACAGTCTCTGTTAGTGCAGGGATACTCGCTGGCCTATTGTGTTCGAGGTGGGGGAGGGGAGGACTAACCTGGGACGACCCATGAGTTCCCCGAGATCTCCAGACGTGTGCTATGGAAACGTTCCTCGAAAACCGGGTCTGACTGTCATCCGCCGCGCCGCACGCTGCAACAGGCGACTGGCAACTCCTAGTCGAGACTCTGATTACAGCGACAGGCGTCAAGGCCAATTCGAAGCAGGCGGCTTGACGTTGCTCTAAGCCAAGTGCTTCTGCCAAATGCTTTCGCTCATGCCGAATAGTGCCCTCGAGAGCTGCATCCCCCCTAGGTCCTGGACTGGAAACAGAATCTCCGCAAGCGTGGACCCCAAGCAGACAGTAATTGCACAGTTGATGGGTAAGTGAGACCTTTCAACATGCCATGGAAAGCACGTTCCCTTCTGCTTGGTTTGAAGCCGAAATGTTGCTTCCACGGCGCAGGGAAGCCCTAACTCATAAAGGGGCGCCCCGATGACTCCTCGCAGCTCGGCGCTCGAGGGGCCACGACGCGCCAAGAGGGCAAGACCACCACCGAGAGGGAACGCGAGCCAGCGCAGCGCGCCTCTCTGGCTCCTCGTCCTCGGCCTCTCCCAACCGCCTCCTGCCCCTCGTGCCCCCCGCCCCTGCCACTGGACTCTCTGAGCCAGTCGTGCGCACGCTGGCGCTACCTGGGCGGCCCAGGTGGTGTATCCGTTCGGGCGAAGCAGAAGGAGCACCAGAATGTTAAGATGGCAGTCGAGCGTTCAATAACTGTCCGCGGCTGCTTGTTTGCCGCGGATGTAAGAAGGACAGGAGGCCGTGCAAGGTGCAAGACTCAACAGTCTCTGGTAGTGCAGAGATGCTCGCTGGCCTCTTCGGTTCGAGGTGGGGGAGGGGAGGACGAAACTGGTGCGACGTTTTGGGGAAGAGGAGGAAAATAGATGGGGACGAAGAGCGGACAAGATCTGCAAATTCGTTTGCACTCCAAACTGGTACCCGGCCAGACCACGGGATCGCCGAAAGCAAGATTGGAGAGAAGCGCGACATAACTAGTGTCCGTCCCTGCTGTGGGCATCCCCATGCGACCTAACCAGCCGCACAAGTATTGACTTCGCAAGTATTGATTGTATGCTCATGTTGATTATTGCTTCTTCGATGGAGCAATTACAGGCCGACGCGCAAAGTGGTCTCACTCGCGCTGGCCTCAGAGCCGCACTCGGACCCCTCCGCCACGCTGGCCTCAGAGCCGCACTCGGACCCCTCCGCCACGCGGGCCTCAGAGCCGCACTCGGACCCCTCCGCCGCGCTGGCCTCAGAGCCGCACTCGGACGCGGCACTGCTGACATCGCTGAGGCTTGGGCCGGAACCCGTCGTGCTGCTCGCGGGCGTGTTGGCCCCGGTGCGGATTCCGATCCTGGGCCAAGCGCGCGGCAGCCCGCCCGCCGGCGCCGCCGCCGGCACCTGCGCCGAGAGCCCTGGGGGCCGCCTCGGGCGGCGCGGCGGCGGCGCCGCCGCCTCCTGCGCCGCGCGCCCGGGCCGCTCGCCGGGGTCGGCCAGGCCGGCGAAGAGCCAGTCGTCTGAGACCGGGGGCAGCTCCCAGGGCTCCAAGGTGAAGCGGCCGAAGCAGCGGCGCGGCGGCGGCGGGAGCGCCATGCCGTCGCGCGGGTCGCTGGGGATCGTGAAACGCAGTGGTGGGCCCGTCTTGAGCCAAAACGGCCGCGGCTTCATCTTGGATCCATGTGATCTCGCCCCAGGGTCCGAAAACAGCCACAGAGGGCCGAACCCGCGGGAGCTCGCCAGAAAAAAAAAACTGCTAAAACCTTCAGGTGTATGGATCCATTGCAGTCGGACCTTGGACAGAAGACCATCCTCCAAGAACATGAGACACTCCACCGATCAGGCAAACACACACAACATCCAAGGGTACCCTCCCCAGGATGCACAAGAACGTCCCACAAACATGAATAACACGAGGGTGCCTTCCCCGAACCGACCTCGATCTTATACCTCGATCCGACTGCACCCCCTCCCATCCCTTGCCACCCTGACCTGCCAGAGCTGAGAATGCCGCCCCTGCCGCCCCAGACTTATAGAAATACCAGGACTGCGTGCAACCTCGACTGCAGCTTCAGTTCAATTGCTCCTGGTGCCGCTAAGTGGTCATCCTGGAAAATGCGGACCCCCCCCCTATCGGCTACCACATGCCTGTCGATACCGCGTCCAGTGCTTCACCTCCTGGCCCATGAGATGGGCCGTCTTGGGCGCATCCTGGGCCGCCTTGGGGCCCGTTCGGGCCGCCATCGGGCCCTGTTCGGGGGCCTCTGGGGCCGTCTTGGGACGATCTTGGGGGACCTCTGGGGCCGTCTTGGAGCGTCGGGGGGCCGAAAAGGCCGTCGGAGAGCCGAGTGGGGCCCTGGGTGCTCTTGGAAGGGCCCGACAGCCTCTAAGATCGACGCCAACACCAATATCGGCACTGTGCCTCCACCGAGGGAAGAAGATCCCGATCTCGGTGATGGTGGTAATATTCTGGCTTCCAAGATGACCGAAATTCGGCCACCGACACCGAAATCTAGGATCTCCTTCACCCCGTGGAGGCAACCTCCTGTGCTGGTGGTGGTGCCCCTTTTGCAGTCCTCCAAACAGAAACCTTGGCGGCTTCTGGGACGCCCCGCGCCTCCTTGGACCCCCCCCCCGCCTTTCTCAGAGGCTGCCCCCTCGCGCCACCCACTTGCGCGCGATGCCGAGCGACCTGCCTGGGTGGGCTGGCAGGGAGAGGAGGAGGAGGAGGAGGAGGAGGAGGAGGAGGAGGAGGAGGGGGAGGAGGGGGAGGAGGAGGAGGAGGAGGAGGAGGAGGAGGAGGAGGAGGAGGAGGAGGAGGGGGAAGAGGAGGAGAGAGGAGGAGGAGGAGGGGGAGGAGGAGGGGGAGAGGAGGAGGAAGAGGAGGAGGAGGAGGAGGAGGAGGAGGAGGAGAGGAGGAGGAGGAGGAGGGGGGGGAGGAGGAGGAGGGGGAGGAGGAGGAGGGGGAGGAGGAGGAGGGAGGAGGAGGAGGAGGAGGAGAGGAGGAGGGGAGGAGGAGGGGGGGGAGGAGGAGGAGGAGGAGGAGAAGGGGGAGGAGGGGAGGAGGAGGAGGAGGAGGAGGAGGAGGAGGAGGAGGAGGAGGAGGGAGGAGGAGGAGGAGGAGGAGGAGGAGGGGGAGGAGGAGGAGGAGGAGGAGGAGGAGGAGGAGGAGGAGGAGGAGGAGGAGGAAGACCAATGCAAACCCAAGTAAACGCAAGACCTGTCAACGATGTTGGAATAAACCGTTCCTCCAAACTCCCACTTCATAGGCCCCTACAAAGATCCATGCCAATTGGCGAAAATTACCGTTGGGAAGACAACCGTTTGAACTTCCTGTGACGTGCTAAAACACCGTTCCCATGACTGCAGCGCCACACATCAAACGACGATTGCGTATGGGCGGTCCTGGATCGCGGCAGAACACCATTCCCAAGACTGCAACGCCGCGAGTCAACGTAACAGTTGCGCCCTAACCATCCAGAATCGCTCCCAAACACCGTTTCTGGTACGTTAACCATGAGGTGCCGTGAAACTCGTGCAGTTTGTTTAAAACAAATGTGCGCTGCACCAAGGCGAGAGCCACACTTTGAAGACGAACAGCATCCCATCTGTGAAGTCTTGCCATTGGGTTAACGGATGTACGCGGTGCTAAGGCGAGAGCCACATGTTCAAAGCGGCCCGCACTCGATCCGTGAAACTCATGAATGCTGCAAGACGAATGTGCGCACCGCTAAAGCGAAAACCGCATTTTGAAAACGGCCCGCCCTCATCCCGTGAAGCCCTTGCAAATCTGTAAACTGTAAAGCGAATGCACGCGGCGCCAAGGCGAGTGCCACAGTTTGGAAGAGGCCCGCCCCCCATCTGTGAAACTATTGCAACCTTCTCAGCTTGAGGATCAGAAGTGCTAAGAAACTCTCAAACGAAACGCACGGGGCGGAGGAGGAGGAGGGATAGGAGGAGAAGGAGGAAAAGAAATAGGAAGGGGGATGTGGAAGGCGACGAGCAGGAGAAGGAAGGACGAGGAGGAGGAGGAGGAGCAGCAGTAGGGAGGGGGATGTTGAAGTGGAGAAGCAGGAGATGAAAGGACGAGGAGGAGGAGGAGAAAGACGAGGCGGAGGAGGAGAAGGACAAGACGAGGAGGAGGAGGAGGAGGAGGAGGAGGAGGGAAGGGGAGGAGGAAGAGGAGGAGGAGGAGGAGGAGGGGGAGGAAGAGAAGGAGGAGTAGGAGGGGGAGGAGCAGTAGGGGAAAGAGGAGGAAGGAGGAGGAGAGGGGGGAGCAGTAGGGGGGGAAGAAGGAGGAGGAAGACGAGGGGGAGGAAGACGAGGGGGAGGAAGACGATGGGGAAGGAGGAGGAGGAGGAGGAGGAGAACGAGGAGGAGGAGAAGAACGAGGAGGCCACCATCCCCTCCCACCGTCCCTTCTTTTCCCGTGCCCCCTCCGGCGAGGACTCGCCCGCCCACGGGCCGCCTCCCGGTAGGCTGAGCACGACTCGCATCCTCCGCCGACGGGGGGGCGCGGAGGTGGATCCTCACCTCCTGCTCCTGCACGTCCTGCTCCTCCTCCTCCTGCTCCTCCTCCTCCTCCTCCTCCAACTCCTCCTCCTCCTCCTGCTTCTCCTGCTTCTCCTCCTCCTCATCCTCCTCCTCCTCCTCGTCCTGCTCCTCCTCCCCCTGCTCCTCCTCCTCTTCCTCCTCCTCCTCCTCAGCAGCAGCAGCCATCATCATCATCATCATCATCATCATCGTCATCATCATCATCATCATCACCACCACCACCACCATCACCATCATCATCATCATCATCATCATCATCATCATCATATCATCATCATCATCATCATCATCATCATCATCATCATCATCATCATCCTCATCCTCATCCTCATCCTCATCCTCATCCTCATCCTCATCCTCATCATCATCATCATCATCATCATCAGCATCATCATCATCATCATCATCATCACAGCATCATCATCATCATCATCATCATCATCATCATCATCATCATCACTATCACCATCACCATCACCATCACCATCATCAGCATCAGCATCAGCATCAGCATGATCATCACAATCACCATCACCATCAGCATCAGTATCAGCATCAGCGTCATCATGATCATCATCATCATCATCATCAGCATCATCATCATCAACATCATCGTCATCATCATCATCATCATCGTCCTCAGCATCAGCATCAGCATCACCATCGTAATGATCATCATCGTCATCACCATCATAATCAGCAGCATCGTCATTCATCATCATCATCATCATCAGCATCATCATCATCGTCGTCATCATCGTCATCATCGTCATCATCGTCATCGTCGTCATCATCGTCGGCATCATCATCAGCATCATCAGCGGCAGCATCAGCAGCAGCATCAGCATCAACATCAGCATCAACATCAGCATAAGCATAAGCATCATCATCATCATCATCAACACCATGGTCATCATCATCAACATGATCTTGACCATCATCGTCATCAGCAGCAGCATCATCATCATCCTCATCATTATCCTCATCCGCATCCACATCCTCATCATCACCCCCTTATCCTCATCCTCGTCCACACCATCATCATCACATCATCAGCAGCAACAGCAACAATCACAGCAGCAACAGCATCCGCCTCATCATCACCATCATCAGCATCAGCGTCGTCATCATCGTCATCATCATCATCAGCATCATCACCATCATCAGCAGCAGCAGAATCATCCTCCTCCTCCTCCTCATCATCATCATCACCACCACCACCATCATGAGCATCAGCAGCATCAGCAGCATCAGCATTGCGATAATCATCGTCATCATCATCATCATCATCATCAGCAGCATCATCATCAGCAGCAGCAGCATCATGATCAGCATCATCATCACCATCATCATACTCCGAATCGTCATCAACATCCTCATCCTCATCATCATCATCACCAGCATCACCCTTGTCCACCCTCCTCCTCCTCCTCCTCGTGATTATCATCACCACCGCCATCATCTGCATCACCACCGCCACCATCATCATAATGATCATAATCAACATCATCATCATCAGCAGCAGCATCATCATCATCATCATCATCATCATCCGAATCATCATCAGTACTCAGCATCGTTCTCATCATCATCGCCATGATCAACATCATCGTCATATCATTATCCTGGACATGATAATCGTCATCATCGTCAGCATCAGCATCAGCAGCATCATCATCATCACCATCATCATCATCATCATCAGCATCATCAGCATCAGCATCATCAGCATCGTCATCAGCATAATCCTCAGCATCACAGCATCCGCGTCTTCATCATCAGCATCCGATTAGTCTTCATCAGCAGCAGCATGCTCGACATGAGCAGCATGATCATCATCGTCATCATCAGAAGCATCATCATCAGCAGCATCATCCTCCTCATCATCCTCGAAGTGGCCGTATCAGATCTCGCGAGGACCGCGCCACTTTAGAATTCAGGAAATGCTTGAAGCGACAGCAGCATCCAGCCATGTCACCCGAGTGCTCAGCAGCGATTCTTGGCCAGGTAAGATGTGTCGCTTACAGCCCGCACAGCGCCACCCGTGGGCGCGCCCAAGACACATTTGACGAATTGCACAATGTGAAAGTCGTGACATCGGCACACAGGAGAAGGAAAAGCAGGGACCCAGGGAGATACGCCGCCTCTCTTCGTTCTGGGGATACACGGAGGGATGGAAAGGTGGAGCAATGTCTGATAGATCATGTGGGGCAAGTATTTGGTTCCACACTCGTTTGGTTCAGGCCTTCACATCTTCGAGGAGTAACACCAGCCCCGAGAGGGCTGCAGGGCAGACTGCTTGGTTGCAACATTGAAAGGCAGTCAATTCGAGTAACGTTCATTTCTATGTACTTCCCGCCTCGCACATGGAACAAAGCCGAACAACTCAAATATGTGAACTGTCGTGAGGCGACCATACGATGGCTTTGTAAGACGCTCGACTCTCTGGCGGGCAGATGGATACCAGTAGTCACTGTGGATCTCATTTCAGCTATCACTGAGGAGGTCGAGGGGATCATCGGAGCAAGGTCAGCAACGCTGCTCAAGCCAATTCCAATCGCCCACGATCTGATGCGAGACGCTGGATACACTTTTGTAGCCTCCAATGGGGTGACGCGGGCGTTCGACTACATAGCCCTGCCACCAGCACTTCAGTCTTCGGTCAAGTGGCGCACAACATTTAGACGTAGCATGATAATACTGCAGCCACAAAGGTGGGGACGTGAATAGGATCACTTACCGCTGGACAGTGGGGCATGTTGGAGCCAGATCATGATCCCCACGCCCAAGGACGAGAAGCAGCAGCGTATGGAGCCATCGGCAGCGAGCGCATTACTACAGAGAGGCTACAAAAGTCGTGAGTTCACAAAGATCGTGTACGACACAATCTCGGCCAAAGCAGCGTGCGTCAGAAGTCAACCAGGATATACGATGGCGGTGGAGGCAAACTAACTATTGGTCGAGACCCTTGAAGCAGGTGCGAGCGCGACATGTAGAGGGCAGAACATCCACCCCGATAATAACCACCGCGAAGCCGTTTACTAAACGCCCCCACTGAAAGAATCGAACAGGGCAGGGCTGTTTAGTAAACGCCCAGGGCCGTTTAGTAAACGCCAATTGTCCGGTCCAGGTGGTGTTTCCTCCCTTGAATGCACAAAGAGGGAAGGATACACAGAGAGCCACGGGCTGTACGCGGAGGAGCTGCGCCGGCTACTGCAGCGAAGACGAGGAGGTGCGAGAGCGGCTGGCGTGGGCCTGCACGCAGGATGGACGAGGACACGCAGCTGGGGCTCACCATTCGAATAGGGGATCGACTACAGAATTGATTTGCCCCAGAACTGAACTTCTCGTCAAATCTGCGGCAACATATTCGAAACTCTCATATATTCCACGCATTCATCGTAGATTCGAGGAGGAACATCAACCTTGGGGTGAATCAATTCTGCAGTCGATCCCCTACTGGAACCATCACGACGATCAGCAAGCGACTAAGGCAGCACAAAAGACGGCACTGACCGAGACTTGAAGAGGATCGGGTTCGAGCTCTCGGGGAGGCACGACAACCACGCGACTTCCACGAAGCACATCGGCTGGCGATAATTACTCATCGCAGCCAATGGACGAGGACCACGACGGCGCAGCTACCGACAGTGACAGACTAGTCGAGCAGCAACATAATGGATCACGAGGATGCACGAAGAAGGCGCGCAGGGTGGCGCACCAGTTCGAGTCGTTGGCTACGACGCAATGCTGCAAATGGTCCACGAGCTACCCGAGCAGTTCAACACCGTGACCGCCGAGGAGACGGAGGTGGACGTCGAGGCTGTCAAGTGTGAAGTTTGGCGGCTGCGCTTATGGCGAGTGGCTCCGCAAGAGAGCATTGGTTCGATGACGATGACGATGATGATGACGATGACGATGACGTCATCGTCATCGTCATCGTCATCGTCATCATCTCAGTTATTGCGCGCGGCCATGTCTCCCAACTGGACCAACAAGAAACGCAAGCAGATGAGCCAAGGTGTCGGTTACGAGCAGGAGCAGGAGAAGATCTCAGCGCTACCAGTATACTTTACATTGAGGTGTCGTTTCAGAGGGGTTCGGGAAAGTGGAACTTCGCCTATGTCCTGGATGTTGTCCGACGCACGTATGATCGGAAGAGACAATAAGAAAGAGGGAGTTGACGGAGAGAGACTCAGCATCCTTGTACGTACTATCGCAAAGACGTACTACAAATGTGTTGACGAGAGGCACGTTACCAGAGGTGGAGTCGTGGATATACGGATGTCGTCCAGGCAGGCGACGGGAGGCTGCAGTCATTGTTCAGCAAGCCAGTCCCATGTCAAGAGGCTCCACGACTCGGCCAACGCCTTCTACAGCATCGACCACGACAGCCTGTGCGACGAGGCAGGGCAGCTTTTCCGCGAGGAGGACTGGCAGATCATGAATTTCAGGATCACCCCCGCGTTTTTTAAGTACCAGGTGGTACCAGCAACAGCGTGCTCCTCCTTCAGCAAGGGTGTCGACCCGGAGGTCCTGGCATGGTGAGGCGTGTCATGGAAGCATATGCTAGACAAATGGAAATGGGATCGGTTACCATACAAGTTCGTGGTCCTCCGTCCACATTACGATCGGTTTCTCGCCGCCGTTTCTGGTGAGGCCGAAGGGGTGCTCTGGTGGGGGGTGTAAGACCGTGCTTCGCACCGACATCTTGCCTCACCCTCCACACCTGCCTGGGATCGGTCACCGTGGGCAACTACAAGCAGAGCAGTTGTTCCGTCCATGGGCCAAGAAGTAGGTGCAGGCGGCTTTCACGCTGTATGTAGATGACGCCGCCGACAACTTTGACGTGCAGAACACGACGGAGACCATCATGAGTCCTGGGGCGTACCAGAACGCAGTAATTACTCGGCGCATGGAGGAGATCAAGATGACCCAGAACG